GCGAACTATCAATGCAGAGATATATGTATAGTCAGCAACTGGAACGTTTAAATCAAGCCCTTCATCAGCAACGTCCTTCACTCGTCATCGGAAAGGTGTTCTTCTTCTCCACAACAATGCACTTCCACATGTGGCACTTTTGACGCAACACAAGATCATGGAGTTGGGTTGAGAAGTTCTCCCAAACAAACCATATTTTCCAAATATAGCACCATCAGATACCATTCTTTTTCGTTCGCTGCAACATCATCTTAATGGGAAAAGGTATGCAAGTGTGGAAGGTGTTAAAGAGGATATCGACATGTTTTTTTGCTTCATAGCCATGTGATTTCCTTAATCAGGGCATTAACAACCTGATTGTAAGATGGAAAATCATAATCGATAAGAATGGAGACTATTTCATTTAATAAATATTTTGTTTTGATATATACGCTGTTCGGGTTGTTCATCTAAAAAAAAGCAACATTAATTTCTTGACGACCTAGTAATTTAATACAAGGATCCTGAAATGCCCTTGTCAAAAATTGTGTGCGAACACACACAAAAAAGTACCTTCCCTTATGTTTCAGCACATGGCTCAAAATAAACACTTGTTTTTTTTTCGGAGAGAATAATACAAATAGAAGAAAAATCAAAGAATATTTCCTTATTGAAAAAAACAACAACCTAGAATTAACCAGTATACAGGTGTAAAATTATAATTGTCTTCGTTTTCCCCCTATATAACACTTGTATTTTATTTGTTTTATCTTTGCTGCCGAGCGATGTAGTATCATATTTGATACTATAAAACGTAACGGTTTTGTTTCATCATTGAATTGTATCCGCCTCAGTAACATTGTTGCGAAAGCTAGAGATATACAGTATAGACAACCAAAACTTAATGAAGTTCACAGACTTAACTAATTAAAGTTAACTAGTTTGTTTCTGTACATCTAGTATTTAGTAGAAGCAGGAGTATCCGTCCCCAGGACGGAAGTTATGTAAAATTATGATTAAAGAAAGATTATCTTAGGACATGAAAAGCCGCTTCCCTTACATAAATTGTAAAAAGCGATTGTGAACATGCTATTTCATTTGAAAAAGAAAACAATGAAGAAACTGTTCTCTGTCCTGTTGAAAGCTACAATAATAATAAACAAGAGGATTCCACTTTGTCAGAAACAAATCCACAGAATAATGTTGCTAAGCTAAAAGAGGATGACCTAATAAATATTTTAACACACAGGGATATTGGATTTATGAAGTTTGATACAACAGGCTCAACAATTGTAACACATGGACATCGCACAGAGATTGTTAAAGTTGAAGCACATGAATTTCAACATAAAGAAGGTCCATTTGATGCCAAAGATGGGCGTTCTATGACTGCATTTTGGTTCAAACGACGCCTTCTGAATGGACAAGAGGTCAATCGTTCCTGGTTGGTGTATTCACCTCTACATAAAGCAGCATACTGCTTTTGTTGTCTTCTTTTTTCATCTGGCATGTATGACATCCAATAGTCGGTCTGCTTTCAAAACACAGGGTGGATTCTCTAAGTGGAAAAAAAAATTAAAAGTTAAATGCCCATGAAAATAGTAACAGTCATCGTGAGTCATTTGCTGCTTTGAAAGAAACTGAGCGCCGAATTCGTCTTCAAAGTGGCATTGATGAAGAGCTGCAAAGGCAAATTCAGCAAGAAAAAATAAATGGAGAGATGTACCGCGACGGCTGCTGGATTGTACACAATATTTAGCTTCTCAGAATCTTGCATTTCGTGGTCATACTGAGGACATAACCTCAAATGAAAACCCTGGAAATTTCCTGTCACTTTTGCAGTTATTAGCAAAGTATAAGTAATGAGAGAGTATTTAGAGCATGTTAAAAACAAACAAACGTCAACATCTTATCTTTCTCTTGTTTGTTTGTTTTTAACATGCTCTAAATACTCTCTCATTACTGATACTTTGCTAAAAACTGCAAAAGTGACAGGAAATTTCCAGGGTTTTCATTTGAGGTTATGTCTTCAGTATGACCACGAAATGCAAGATTCTGAGAAGCTAAATATTGTGTACAATC